GGAAAGAGGTTATGAAAACAACTATTTTAAGAATGACAGGATAGTTAAGGCATAATTTTATAATACATATAGAGGAGGAAGTAAAAAATTGATTGAATATAATAGCTAGTATATAATTAAGACATTTTGCTTGGTGATCTTACAGGAAACATACCAAAAGCGTCATGCTGTTTGTAATTGTAATGTAATAACATATAATTTGTTCTTATAAATGTTTCTTCATTAAAGTAATAAAACTCCTAGCATTTATTGAGATTTATAGTCATTAATTATGGTTTAGTTTTACCATTTCCTAAATTTTTCATCTAGGTATGTATGTATGTATGTATGTATTTAACAGTACATGATTATATTTAACACACAACTTTGGTACAACCAAAAAGTAAAACACCACAATAAAATAATAACAAAAAACAGGGTATTTTATTTGCAATGTGAAAGAAATGGTTAACATTTTTAGTCACAAACAAACTTTTAGAAACCAGTAACAGAGACACTATAACCCAAGGAAACTGGAAAAAAGAAAATGAAATAATAAAAATATTTAAGGATTAAACAGTAACAAAGAATAATTTCTCTGCAATAACACACTGTCACAGAATAAAAACACTGACATCTAATGTTTATCAGTTTTGAACAGTGTTATACAGTTTTAACCCTCAGAACTGAACACTGGGAAACAGATTGATGAGTATCTACAATTAGGGTGAAAGCTAATTTTGAATCAAAATATAAATTTTGAATATCCTTAGCCTGAGTAATTCCAAGTCATTGAAATTATTTCAACAACTTAGTTGAACAAATGCAAAGTGAGTTATATCAAAGCATGGTTAATGCAAAGAAAATATGTGGCCAGTATAAGCGCCCTAAAACACTACTTGCCTATCAATTTATCAACACAACCCAAAAGGATGTGCACAAAATCCATTAATAGTAGATAATAGCATAGAGAGTACAGTCAATAATACTGTGATAACTATGTATGGGGCATGGTGGGTACCTGAAATATTGAGGGAAAACTTTGTAAGTATAGGATTGTCTAACCACTATGCTGTGCACCTGAAACTAACACAAAATAATATTGAATGTATAGTGTAATTGAAAAATAAAAGCAGACAGTGTATAACACTGGGGAGTGGGGAGGTACAATTAAAAGGAAAATAACATCTTGGTATTTTTAAAGCATTATTTTGAAATCTTATTTTATTGAAGACTAGAGGCCCGGTGCACAAAATTTGTGCATGGGTAGGGTCCCTAGGCCTAGGCAGCAATCAGGGCCAATCTGTGGGGCAATCGGCCTGGAGCCTGCGGGCTGGAGGCAGCTCTTGAGTTGAGCATCTGCCATTTGGTGGTCAGTGCACTGTTTGGTCGATTTGCATATTAGGCTTTTATTATGTAGGATACTAATCTAAGCAGGAAACAGTAAATTTTGTGTATTATTAATATCAGTTAGTTTTGGGCTCTAAGTAACTGAATGAATGACTAAGTGTGACTTAACAGATAGAGTTCTTTGCTTTTTAGTTTTTGTCTTTAATGTAAAAGATCTGGAGTTGCCAGTATTGGCTCAGAGGTTCAGAGATGTTAGAATTCTTAGTTGGCCTCATGTTCACAAAATAAGTATTACTACTCCAGACACCACATCTTCAGACAACTGCAGTAAAGCAGGAGAAAGCCACAATGGATTCTTCTTAGAGCATTCATGTTTTAGGAAAGAATATATTGCTCAGAAGCCTCCTGCAATCTTTATTTTAAGTCCCTTTTGGCCAAAATTGGTCACCTTCCCATTCCTAAAACAATCACTATCAACAGGAAGTGTGTTTACTGGCTTAGCCCCAGAATTCAGGGAAAAATATGAACTTGCTATCCCCAACTTGAAAAAAATAGGGTGTCTTTTGGCAATGAAGAAAGAGGCATCAGCTTTGGGTAGATAAATTAAGTCCCTGGGAATTATTGCACAGCGCTGCATGGATGGAAAGGAAAACTAATCTTCATCTGTCTCCCCTCAAGTAGGCTACAGTCATTCAAAAGACAGGGACTGTGTCTTATTTATCCTTTTAATCTACAGGATCTAGCATACTACCTAATTGTAGAGGTGTTTTTAAGTGCTATTCAACTGGAATTACCTTGTATTGTAGTGTATCTATTCTCTTTAAGCTCACGGTATAAGAGCAATTTACTGACATGTGTGCACATACTCAGATATTTGCCAGTAGACTGACAAGATTAAGTTAAGAAACTAGTAGATAATTAAATTGTTATATAAAATACAGGCCAAAAGAAAAAAGTGCATTTACTCTATCAAGGAAATGTAGTTAGTTTTGCAAGACTTGGTCTTATTGAATCTAAGCTGCCTGAAGGTAATCACTACTTCCTTTCCCTGGTGATTACAGACTATTTAATCACCAATTCAATAATTTTTTCAGCAATTGACATTAAGAACTCACAAGGAGTTCTATATCCTTTTAAAAAGCAATCTGCATCTTGGCATCTTTCCCAATGACCATGATTCTTCAAATATTACCAATATGGGTTTCTCAATGACATGTGTGTGATTTCCTTCAATAGTCTTCAACTTGTCTGGACCTGAATTAATTTAAAACAACCAGAGCTCTTCTACTATCTTTGTTACCTATTATGAATATTATTTCCTTTTTGACCACATTCAGTCTTTTTTACTTTTGGAAAATCATTATTCTTGATAGAAAAACTGGAAACAAAATAGATGTTCAGTAGTTTTGGTTCCACTGTTACTTAGTACAACCACTCTATCTTAAAATACTGTTTCATTGTTTTTGGTTTTCTGACCAAACACTCAATTTGGTCAATGACCAAAAACTCATTCGTGGTTTCCTAATAATATTCTCAGAAATTCAGTTTGTATAGCAGAAGAGGGTTGGAGGAACACTACATTTGGCTTCATTAGGCCTGTTATTTACCCACTGGGTAATAATAACAGAGCCAGGTAGTTGGTAGGAACTCACCACATATTAATTGAAAGAATGAAAAGCACTAGGTAAGAGGAATGACACTTTCATCTGCTACAAAATTAGGGAAGTATCATTGCATAGAGATGTTTTATGAATGTTTTGAGGTCATAAAGTAAAGGCACTTTGTCAAACTGTAAACATGTATACTCAGGACAAATATATGCAATCATACACACACAGATATAGATAGATAAGCAGATAAGTGGGTAGGTTGGCAGGTAAATAAATAAACACACATACCTCTATAAACTTATGTGTGTGATATGTAAGATCTTGTTATATTTAGCGAATTGTAAAAGAGAAGGATGATGCTGGCCCCTACAAGAAGCCTTCCTGCTTTATAGAACAACTAAGGGATGCATTCTTTGCTTTCCTTTCTTGCCATTGAGTTTTGTCAGTTTAAGCAGAGTTTATTAAACTCTAGGAAACTTACCCTAAGCTAAACCCATAAAGAAACTGATTTATAAACAAACAAAAAATTATAAAATTCAGAGGCAGGTATTCTGCAAGAATAATTGACTTCACAAGTCATTTAGGCTACTCCTTGGGCAAGCCTACCAAAGAGATCAAGTTAGAAATCATATTGTTGCTTAATGGTTGAAGATTTAGAGTAAAGGGATATTTCCATTAAGCTAGCATAGCTTAATGAATGCCCTTTTAATTAATTGATATCCGTAGCTATAATTTATTGAACACTTTTCATGCACCAGGAACTATACTTAGTGTTTTCATTTATAAGTATTATTTCCCTTAATTCTTTTTTATAGGGGGTGGGGACACTTATAAACAACAGGCATTTATTTCTCACACTTTTGGAGGCTGGGAAGTCCAAGATTAAGGAACTGGAAGATTTGGTTCCTGATGAGACCCGTTTTCTGGTTCAGAAATGGCCATCTTCTCATTCTGTCTTCACATGGTAGAAGGGAGCTCTCTGCCCTTAATTCTTAAAACAACCACATTTTAAAAACAAGGGGATTTGAGAGGAGAGAAGACAGTGGCCAAACAGGCAGACCTTTCTTGCACCTCCTCCCAGGCCAGACTAGAAATAAAACTAAAGTGGGGAACATACACCTGGAATTACCAACTGAGGTCCAGCTGAAGAGATTTATATCAAGGAAGGACAGAAAAAACCTGGAGACCAGTAGGAAGGGCAAGGTCCTGA